CCGAAGGATGATGGTTTGGACGAGAGGAAGGCGGAAAGAGCGAGAGGGAGAGTGGGTCGATAGAGAAATTAGGGGTGCATTTCTCGGCGAGGGAATTCGCGTGGTGGCCGAGTATCGCGGGGACCGGAGAAGATCGGCATCTCGATACCTCGAAGTCGTGCAGAAGATGCCACGGTGCCGGGAGACGACGGTCGAAGGCTTCGTCGTTCTTTTCGGTCGTCGCGCTTCGGCTGAACGCGAGGGAACGGAAAAGGATGGAAAGGAAGAAGAGGCTGGACGGCGGCAGGAGGAGGAAGAGGGGCAGGGGTAGTAGTAGGATGGCGAAGCGAGAAGCACGAAGAACGGAGGGGACTGGCCCTTGACGCATGACTCCAATGACACTCGTACCTATAAATCTCGCCGCGCTCCGAGCTCCGCGCGGTCGAGTCCATATATTACTATGAGTTACGGGTGTAAACCGTTTAAACATCGGATTACCCGTTTTACATACTGTCTTTAATATTAACACTTGCGTCGGGGTTCGCCTAAATCAGCCTGGCCAACCAGGAGTCCGCGTTATCGCGTTCGCGCCTCTTCGCCCTCGTGCCTGCATCGATTAATTAATCCCTAGTCGCGGTTGCCATCGTCGCGATCGTCGTGGTCGTCGTGGTCGTGGTCGTGGTGGTCGTGGTCGTGGTCGTGGTCGACGAAAGGAAGAAGGATCGCGGTACGCGATTAGGCTTCGACGAATAAGGTGATTTACGGATAGCGATCGAGGGAGCGTTATTACTTTCCGTCAGACCGTATATCACTCTTATACGGAGGTAGGCGATACTTTAACGGGCAAACGAATTATCAGCGCGCAGCCGACTTTCTTTCCATTCTTTTTGATCCGCTTCGACTACGAACAACAAAGAGGAGACACGGTGGCGGTTCGCGGGGCGAGCAGTACACCTGGCATATTGATCGATCGATTCGTCCGTATAATTGCTCGGAAAGCGGCGTGGCACGGGACCACGAGGACGACGAGCACGACTACGGCGACGACCACGACGACGACGACGACGACGACGACGACGACGACGACGACGAGGACGACGAGGACGACGAGGACGACGACGACGAAGAAGAAGAAGAAGAAGAACAAGACGACGAGGATGTCGCGACGCGACAGCGGTTGGGACTAGGACGCGCGCGCCAGCCATTTGAGCACCCCGAGAAATTCCTTTCGCTTGAAATATTACCACGAACGCGTTACCCTGCACCGGGGGTAAGAACTCTGGCCCCCGACACGCGCGCGCTGCGCTTCGAACGACGCGCGAGCGAGAGAGAGAGGGCGGCAGAAGCGTAAGCGAAAGAGAAAAACGGAAGGAACGAAGTTCGAAGTACGCGAAAGAAAAAGAAGGAAAGAGCGGAGAAAGAGAGGCGGTGGAAGAAGTAGGTAGGAAGAAAGGAGGTAGGAGGCTGATTGGCTCCGAAAAAAGGCAATGGTACGGGGCGCTGGTGATTTATGTCGACCGGCTCCGAGCGTCCCCGTAGATTCGTTCTCTACGCCGGCTAATACCCCGACATTATTTGGCTCGATAAGAGGATTTCACCGGAGACTGAAATAAACATAATCGCTCGGGTTCGCACTTCTGGTCTCCGCGTGACAAGTTCCACTGTATACACAGTGCTTCCCAACCTTCGACCGTCCTCCATCTAACCCGCGAACGTCTAACCTTAATTGCATTCGCATTGTTCGCAGGGGGCCTGAGTACAGTGGCCATCGTGAGGGTGCAGGTGACGGATGTGAACGATAACCGACCGATCTTCGAGCCGAGAAAGTACAACGTCACGTTGAAGAGCGACGGCCCGATCCAGGGCCCGATCCTCAGGCTGGTAGCCACGGATTTGGACGCCGGGCTTTTCGGACAAGTGGCTTATCGAATCACGAACGGGAACGAGGCCGGTGTTTTCCACATCGATCGCAACACCGGCGAACTACAGATCGCGTGGCCGAGTCTGTTGTCCAGGTCGCCGTTGCACCAGTTGAACGTAACGGCGACGGACGCGGCCGGTCTGAAGAGCAGCTTCGACGCCGAGGTCCGGATCACCACGTCGTCGCCGGGGCACAGAGTCGCGAGCTGCGACAAGCCGCGTTACACCATCACCGTGAAGGAGACCGTGCCGCAGAACAGCATCGTCGGTGGCGTAAAGGACGGTGGTTCGTCTTCCTCGTCGTCAGGTAAGCACGTGCGCGCGCGATCGTTAGCGATTACTTTGGCTGCGAACATTCCGTCGTCGTTCGGCAATGTTTATATTTCTTCCGCGTTGCCGCTGTATTATCGATTTCCGGTGAGGGAGCAAAGCGTGCCGCATACCAGGCTTAATCGACGGAGTTTGAAAAGCAAGGTACGATCGTTGGCTCGGTAGCCAGCGAATGCATCGAAAACGTATTCCACGCGCGGCGTTACCGCGTTAGCATAGTCGCGTCACGAGAAAACGCCGGCGACGTAGCGAACGGCCACGTGTTGGTGTACGTGCAAGCATGTAGAGCCACACAGTCAGCGGGATCGTATAGGAACAGGTAGAACCCGAACCCGACTATTCCTCGTCCCTCTTTCTCGTCGTCCACGGAGAAACCGACGCGACATGTAAATCATACGGGGGAGTCTATTGTGCGCGATATCTCGGAGGAACGTCGTGGAACCCATCGTTTCGTCCGGTGCGCGAGCTCTCCGATGACATTCGTCGGTTGGTTGCTCGTTCGCCGCTGGTGAATCGACGGAATCGATGGAACGGCGTGGAATTCCGCGCGACGCGGAATTAGGAAGGCAGGAAGGCAGGAAGGCAGGAAGGCAGAAAGGCAGAAAGTCAAAGGAGAAGAGGACGCGGCGAATAAGGGTAAGGTCGCGGACGAACGGGTGGGTTGGTCGGTGCGGACGCGATTCTCGAAGGGTTAGGTTGGCGCGAGGGTGGAGGGGAAAGGTAAAGGCGGGAGAGGTACGTATCCGTGTTTCCACACTGGTGGTACATCCGATGCAAGATACGGCGCGTCACGACCTGCGCTCACCGCGCCATATACCCGATGCACCGTGTAAAGTGTCTCGTGGCGTATCGACCGGCACGGTTCGCTACGTTATAGGCTCGAGAATGGTGAATAGTTTACACGATGGTGCCTTACCGGTGGTCGTATTGTTCGGCCGCCATGGCCCGCATATGCAGCCTGTTGCATATCAATGCGCGAACCTCGAGTGTGTTCCTCCTCCGACGTCGAGCGACGTCGTGCCTCGTTCTCTTTCCTCCCTTCGTTGCTCTCTTTCGCTCTCGTTCCTCCGCTCTCTCTCTCTTTCTCTCTCTCTCTCTCTCTCTCGGTCGTTTCGATCTCTTCTTTCGCGGAGAGAGTCCCTTCGATCGATCTCGCGTTCCTCCCGTCTCCTTCTCGGCGCTCATATTCCCTCGCACGCGATTGAAAGAGAGAAACGAGAGGACTCGCGAACGTGGGCTACGCTGGCCGAGGTTAAAAGGTAGGTATTCAGACCTCGGCGAACGCATGCACCCGATTCGTAGGGGATCGCGATCCTCTTTGTCGCGAGTCGCGAGTCCTCCGCGCTTCCAGCGATCCCAACCGCGCGTCGGCAGACGCGTTTCTCGAATTCCTCGCGTTTACCTCGCTGCGATCGCGATCGTAGATAAGTGGTAATTACCGCGCCAACGACGTGGGTGAATCCGAGAATGGCGGCGCGTAGCCGCTCCGAACGTTCGCCGCGTCCTTCGTCCTTCCGCCTTGTTCCGTCCATCAGCGCGACAATCTGCCACGTAGAAAGCGGAAGAAAAGCGGAAAGCCGCGGAATCGCGTTTCACGCGGCCCGATACCGAGAGGTTCCCTCGTCTCTCGCAGCCTCTCCAACTCGCTCTTCCCTCATCGATCCGATCGATCCGGCGATTTCGGAGCGCGGCTTCCAATCGGCCACGCGTCCCAACGAGAACCTGTTCGCACGGAAGATCGAGGTCTGGCACTCGGGCCCACAATATTTGACACACGGCAGCCAATCAGATTATCAGATTAAAGTCGGACGAGCCGACGCGGCGATCGTCGGCACAGGTGCGATTCATTTTGCGAGAGAGCTCGCGCGCGCACGTCCTCCGATCTTCTCGCTGCTGTTTCTCGTTGTTCCTTCGCCGACATGGCACCTGCGTGTCCCCGACGAGGGTTGCACGAGGGTACCGCGTAACGTCCATGCGACGCGACCGAAACGCTCGAGGGTAGTAGAGTTCGTGGCTAATCTGGTTCCTTTTCACCGAGTTCTAGATCGCATTTACATAACTATTATACACGGCGAGTGTGCGGACATTAACGCCGAATTCATTAATTTCGTATTTATTACGGAACATCGAACGACGTTATCAGATCGTCTGGCTAAAGGCAGCGTCGGGAGACGTTATTGCCCGTTTACGAGCACCTGTTTTGATAAGAACGGTGGGTTCTTTCTGAAAATACGAAAAACAGTTCGGTCGTTATAGAGGCGCATGATCGTGGAAGAAGCGCAGAGGCCGTTAAAAGCAACGTAGACGAACTCCTTATTGGGCAGGGTTCGGCCGCGAACGGACCGACAACCGTACGATCCTTCCATAAAACCTGGCGACAAAGTGAGGAACGCGCTTCATTTTACGGCCGAGTTTATGGTACCTGGCAGAGAATCATCGGCCCGTGATCGCGTCGACTAGAGACGACCGGTCTTATCTTATCCGCGGAACGAGCGGCCGCTCCCAAGTTTTCTCGGCTTTTCGATCGTTCTTGTACACAGGGGTGTATTATAGTCGGGCGATCCTGGCGACCGAGATCGGACCCTGCGTTTCGGAATAAAAATCAGCGAAACTCGAAGCCGAGTCGAATTTCGACTGCTCCGACCGAGTACCGAGTAATTCCTCTCGAAATACGGGTCAACCGTTGAAATCGACCTACGCGTTGGGATTTCGACCGGCAAGCGGTTGCGTAACGCAACTGTTAACGCGTCGAAGATCCGCGTGATCCGTGGATCGTATAGTAGCGAGAACGGAGCGAGATGGAATTACGCGAGAATTCGTTGGAAGCGTAATCTTCGGGGATTTCTCGATGGAGCGTTTCGTGCTTTTCGTACCCTGGAATTCTTGTCCGGAGAACGCGCTTCGAGTGTGGTGGTCGGCCGCTAGAAGAGGAACGGAGAAGGTCGGTTGGCGCGAGACGACGGACCGGGATGGGAAAAAGACGAAGGCAGAGGACGGTGGCGAAGAGGAAGAGAAGAAGGAGGAGAAGGTGGACCGTCGTCGTCGTCGTCGTCGAGGTCGCATAAATCGTCGCGAGTCGGATACCGGGCAGCCGAACGCGAGCCGCCATTGTCCACGACTTTTTTCCCCTCTCTCTTTCTTTCTTCCCTCAGAGCTGCTGTTACGGAGCTGCACTCTTTGCATACGCTTTAAATATCACCGCTCTGCTCGCTTTGAAGACTCCCAGCACCACGTCTTTTCCTCTTCTGCGCTTCTTTTCGAAGGGACCTGGCGAAAGCCTGGGGTTCCAGGCACGATGCGCGTCGAAGGCGAAGCCGAAAACTCGTTTCGCTTTCCGCCCCTTCCATCCTCCCATCGCGCTTCCATTTTCCACCGTCCGACCCGGTCATCCGAATATTTTCTACTTTTCATATCGTTTCCTTGGGCCAAGACGAAGACGACAGAATACGAGGAGGAAGAAAAAGGAGGAAAAAGGAACGCGTGGTCGTAATTTCGAGCAACGCGTCTTCGAACGACCCATCCTCGAGTTCTTTAATTGGTGAAAGGGGTAATTGTTACGATAGCGTGGTCGGGGCTGTTTCCGAATGGCCCTCGGTCGTGGTAACGTTATTCCGTGTTCCGAGATAATCTATAGACGGAATAAAAATTGGTAACGGGGGTCGTCGATATCGTTGCTGTACGACCCACCTTGACCTCGGAAAAGCGGTTTCGAGTTTTCGAAAAGAACGACACGGCCCGGGCTAATCTTATCCGGCCGGCACATCGTTAGTCTTTAACGAATTTAACGACGACACTATATAAAAATCAACGGGCAGTGACGTCGTTTAAAGGTGTCTATAAAGATACACGGAGATATAATTCGGGGACTGATCTGGCTGTTACGACCACGGCGAAAGTTCCGTAAAGGATCGTCCGCGGTTCGAGCAATTCCACCGATAGTCGAATTAAAAGGAGGAAATTTGTGGCGAACGCCTGACCGACAAAAGGAAGAAGCATTTCGGGGAGACACACGAGAGACACGCGGTAGATAAAGAAGGGGAGGATCCGTCGTGGTTCGGAACGAGGAGGTCGCAAAAAGTAGGATTCTTCCTTCCTCGAAGATGAAGTATTCCGCATGGCGAAGCGGCCGATACGTTAGCTCTCCTTCCACCGTGTCTTCTTTCGAGCAGCCTTTCCTTCCTTTTTCTCTCCGATCTTCGGATCTTCCCTTCCCTCCGTGCGCGCATCGTGCTTTCGCCGGACTTGCAAATTTCGCGCAGGCATCGTCTTTTCTGCAGCGGGGTCCGCAGCGGTGTGCGCGCCGCGACTTTGCATCCCGAAGAGCGAGGAGAGCGAGGAGAGCGAGCGACCCAACCTAAACCGTGCTACGAGATCCGCGCGGAAAGATAGCGAGGACTCTCTGCCACGGCAGGACGAATGCTCGCAGTCCGATTTGCGTAATTCCGTTCGTGGAATTTCACTTCCACCTCTCGACTCCGTCTCTCGCGACCACCACCGTTCTGTTATTCGCAAAGAAAACGCCTCCCCCGTTGACAGCGTAGATAGCGGAATCGTCGGGGGACTACGTCGGGCGGAACTGTGCGAGCGTTTCGCAGTTTCGGAGGATACATTTTATGCGTCGGAAACAAATTTGCTTCGAAGCACATCCAATTCTCTTAATTAAGAAACGATGTTGGCGCGGCTACGATAGCCATTCCCGGCGATCGTTCGTTTGGATCTCGATGACCCGAGCGCGCAGGTATTCGTACGGTCAGCGTGGAATTAAGAGACGCGCATTAGGATCTCCGTCGGTGAAGGAGGCCGCGGAACAAAAGGGAAGAGAAAAGAATGCAGCAGGGACGGAAAGGAGAAGCGGCTTGGCGGCAGCAGTCCGCTTCGCGTATGATAATCCCATGGCTCCGGCATCCGTTTGCATCATTTTCGACAGCCACTGTTTATTGCCGCATGCAAATCGCTCTCGAACGCGACGACGGCAAG